AATGCTACCACCAGTAGTAGCATGGCACAAAAGCCTTGTGAGGTTAACTCAGTCGCTACCACCATTGCCAAAATAGTCGACCTCTTTGCCAACACCGATCCACAAACAACAAACTCAGCCAGAGCCTCAACCAGAACCTTTAACTCACTCCATATGTCCCTTACCAAAGCCATGAAGATCTTGGTAGAAAGAGGGTATCTCAAACCTCTTGACCCATGACCTCTTCCAAATCATCTCCCAACCAAACATGACCTGCCAAATAATGTGCTTCCACCAATAGTTGTTTCCATCTTCGTCATGAGATTCAAGATCTCATTGACAATAAAGTCATAACTCCCCCATAGCCACCAAAAACCAATGTCATTACTAACCCATTTTCATCTCATGACAAAGTCCAACCACCTCTTCGTCTTAACTTTATCCATACACTATCACCTACTTTTGACCCCAGCATCTATATCGTACCCTTTCATTTACCTAAACTTGAGGTACACATTTGTGAGAGCACTGATCTGTGCATGATGGATGCACCTCCAACCCAGCCAAAACTCGAAAACCCTATGGTGGTAATGGTAAGAGCCAAAGAGAAAACAACCAAAGTGTCGGTGATTGAGCTGGGAAACTACCAGAGGAAGGATATGATCCTAGCAAGTACATTGTACCTATTGGTGATCTGAAGCCTGAGGTTGTTCTGTCTGACTCATTTTCTATCAATGTTTTCAGAAATGATGTACCTGAACAGGAGTTGGATGACTTGGTTGACCTAGAGGAGGACTTGGCCAATGTCCAGTTCTTTGAAGAATTAGACCTTAGAAATGAGCAAGTAGGATGGTAGAATTCGAGAAATTTCAATGTCAGTCATGGCTGGTCAAGTAGTGGCGAAGTTTTTGATGAGGAAATCAAGAGAAAAAGGGATGATCTAAAAATTAACACCAGAAAATCTGAAGACTGTAGTAAAGGAAAGGGTTCTGGAGAGAAAGAAGAAGAACCAGAAAGCCAACCAGAGTATACTGTGGGAATGATTCGAGCGGAGCCTGATAATTGCCTTTTGGTTAACAAAGGCGAATGGTGGGATGATAACGACCTGTAACTCACCTATACTGACGATGAATGGATAAGCAATGTGCCTAACGAGACTTGGTACTCAGAAGAAATTAATCATTTGATTAGGAGTGGGCACTACTTCAAGCCTCCATACCTAGACTAAGGAGAGTCCTCAACCAAAGACAAAGAAGTTAAGCAAGAGAAAGAGAAAGAAGTTGAATAAGACCTGGTTCTAAAATAGTTAAAAAAGATCCAGGCAAACGTCTTCATATGGGGCCTTCTCATGGCTTCCCAAGAGCACCGACAAGCGATGTTGTCAGCCTTAAGCAAGGCTAAGTTGTCAATTGACACAACTCCGGAACAACTGGTATTGCTAATCACCCCAAGAGAAATAATCCCTGTAATAACCTTTGCCGACAAAGAATTACCACTAGAGGGATCATAACACAACAAGCCTCTATATGTCTCACTGGAGTGTAGAAAGAAATAGATCCCAGTTTTTTTGATTGATTCCGGGCCGGCTATCAATGTATGCCCTTCGCGCACTGCTTATGTGATACGGCTAAAGTCGGCAGATTTCACACACGCTACTCAGTTGATCTAGGCTTATGATAACACTAGTTGGGGAAGTTATGGGGATAGTCAAAGTGCAAATAATAGCGGGTCCATCTGAGCACGAAACTAAATTTCATGTTATAGATGTCCCCGTAACATTTAACTTGCTATTAGGTAGGCCTTGGCTCCATCAGATAAAAGATGTATCATCCACAATGCATTAATTGGTAAAATACCCATATGATGAAGGAATTGCCACTGTCTTTGGAAATTCAATCATTCATCCTCCCTTAGAAGTCACAATGTTGGGGGAGGAGGATGTGTTCCTCTTTGGCTTTACATTGGAAGAGGCCCAACTAGTTCAAACACTCATGGAAGAAGACGAAAGTGTATACGTCAGTGTGCAATCAATCTACTTCATGAATAAGCTGGGTCACATTCCTGGATGGGATTAGGACAAAGTGGCAGGAAAGGTATTGCTACAACCGGTGAAGTACCTTTTAACTCGCATGCATTCAGACTAGGGTATGCACCTACAGCAGATGATTGGAAAAGGAAAAGTGAAGAGATCAAGGAGATAATCAAGGCAAAGAGAACCGAGCGACAGTTTGAGTTAGTCCATAAGCCAATTTGTAGAACCTTGAATGAGCGCTTTTTCCAGAAAGGAGAGGATTTCACTTTCTATGGGTTTCTAAAGCCATAAATTGACCAAGAGGAAAAGAAAAAATATCCCAAGTTTGAAGTCTTCTTCGATCATCAGCTTTCTGATAGCGACGAGGAGCAGACAGATCCAAGCATCGACATTGGTTAAGACAGTGATGTCAATTTTTAAAATGGTACAGAGGGCCTGACATTGGCTGATTTGCTGAAAGAGTCTTATACTGGTGTTAAACTAATGAACATAGAGGATATGACTATTTATGTGATTGGAGAAAGACCACCTGTCGATTGCTCAAGCTTCATCATGGACGCAATGAATGTCACGCAAGCAAATTGGCATGTTGAAAATCATTTTATTGAGAATTCTGAATTGGTTATTGAGTCTGAGTCTGTTAGGCTTATCGGGTTGGAGTTAGATTTGAGTTTGTTTGAGATGTTAGAATCTTCTTTTGCTTTTGATTTTTCTTTTGAGTCTGTTGCAACTGTTGAGCCCGAGATTCTGAATGAAGATGTTATGATTTCTGCTTACTTCTCTATGCATATAGTTCATAGCATTGATCAGAATTTTTTGAATTTCATGAAAACAAAAAGGAAGAAATTCCTTGGGCTTTGAAAAATTTAATCAACTAGGAGAAAGAAATGCTGCTAAGCCATTAATCAACGAAATTTTTTCGTAAATGTGGGTACTGAGATAGATCCTCACTTGGTCTAGATTGGTTCCACTTTATCTTTAGAGGAATGTGAGCAATTAGTTGCTTTATTAAAAGAATTCAAAGATGTTTTTGCGTGGTCCTATGAAGATATGCCTAGAATTGATCCTGAGATTGTATAACATAAGATCCCTGTTAATCCTGAGGCCCGGCCTGTCAAACCGAAGCTTCACAAAATCCGTCCAGATTGGGCATTAAAAATCAAATGAGAGGTTACTAAACAAATCAATGCCAGGTTCTTGCTCATATCAGAATATTTGACTTGATTAGCTAACATTGTGCCAATCCCAAAGAAAGATGGCAAAATTAGGTTTTGCATTGACTTCTGGGATTTGAACAAAGCTAGTCTAAAAGATGACATTCCATTGCCACATATTGATGAATTGGTAGACTTCACTGCAACACATGCCTTGCTATCATTCATGGATGGTTTTTTGGGGTATAACCAAATCCTTATGGCTCTAGAGGACAGAGAAAAGACTACATTTACTATACCATGGGGGATGTATCGTTACAGGGTCATGCCATTTGGTTTGAAAAATGCAAGGGCCACTTATCAGAGAGTCGCTACCACACTGTTGCATGATGTGATCCACAAGGAAGTTGAGGTGTCTGTAGATGATATGATTGTCAAGTCCAAAGATCGGGAAGGCCGTTATACCGCATTGAAGAAATCTTTGAGAGAATCAGGGAATACAAGCTGAGGGTGAATCCATAGAAATGCACCTTTTAGGCAGCTGCGGGCAATTAAGGTCATCTTAGAAATGCCACCACCAATGACTTAAAAAGAGGTGCGGGCTTTCTAGGCAAAGTGCAATTCATAAGAAGGTTTATTTCTAAATTAACCTTGACCTGTGAACCACTTTTTGGTTTGTTAAAGAAAGAAAATAAGTTTTAATGTGATGATTGGTGTTAGTTCTCCTTCAAGCAAGTTAAGCAGTATTTGCATAATTCACTTGTGTTATTACCACTTGAGCCAAGAAAACTACTAATTTTGTATTTATCAATGATTGAATCAACCATGGGAAATATGCTTGTGCAAGAGTCAAGCGAGAAAGTGGAGAAAACCATCTACTACTTGAGCAAGAAGATGCTTGAATACTAGACCCGCTGCACTCCCTTGGAAAAGGCTTGCTTAGCTTTGGTTTGGGCCACCAAGAAATTGAGACACTACTTGTTAGCTCACTCAATACTTATGGTTTCAAGATTAGACCCCATCAAATATCTCTTTAAGAGACCAACACTTACTGGTAGGCTAGCTCGTTGGTTGCTTTTGCTTTCTGAATTTGATCTTAATTATGTCGCTCACAAATCTGTTAAAAGAAGGTAGAAGTTTTGGCTGATCACCCAATTGAAGGAGAAGAAGATATGGATTATTCACTCCAAATGGGGAGGTCATGCAGATGAAAGAAAACACTTGGAAGTTGTACTTTGATGGAGCATCCAATCAATTTGGCTATGGGATAGGTGTGTTGCTCATAGCGCTAGATGATTCCCATATCCCTTTAGCTTTCAAACTCCGATTCAGGGTATTCAACAACCAAGCAGAGTATGAGGCATGCATTGCCGAACTAGGAGCAGCTTTAAAACTAGGGGCAATAAGGTTAGATGTGATTAGGGATGCAAACGTGGTCGTCTCTCGAGCCAATGGAGACTGGAAAGTTAAAGAGGAGAAAATGAAAGTCTATCATTAGACATTGGACATGTTTATCCCGAGTTTCAGAATGATGACATTTACACACCTGGTGAGAGAGAACAACTGATTTGCTAATGCGTTGGCAACAATAGCCTCCATGATAGATATACCAGTTGGGGTTAAGATGTGCCCAATCCTGATAGAACAAAGATATATGCTCGCATATGAAATGGTAACTGCAAAAGAAGAAGTTCATGATAAAAACCCCTAATATTTTGATACTTAGAACTTTTTAGAAAGTAGTACGTACCTGCAAGAAGCAAATGCCAAGGACAAAGGGGGGGATACAACGTCTAACTACTCTGTTCATCATTTGCAGAGATAAGCTGTATAGAATGGGGCATTTGGGAATGCATAAGCTGTGTGTAGAGGAAGAAGAGGCAAAGCGTGTCATAGAAGCCATCCATGGAGGAAAGTGTGGAGCCCATATGAAAGGTACAATGCTTACTAGAAAGATCCTTATACAAGAATACTACTTGTTAACCATGGAGGTTGATTGTATTGACTTCATTAGGAGATGCCACAAATGTCAAATCCACGCCCATCGCATGAATATCCCTCCATCAAAACGCTGCAACATGACTTTGCCTTGGCCTTTCTCAATTTGGGGCATAGACATTATCAAGGCAGTCACACCGAATGGTTCAAATGGGTATCAGTTTATCTTGGTTGCCATTGATTATTTTACCAAGTGGGTTGAAGCACAGTCGTTTTCAATGTTAAAAGCATCACACATGGCTAAATTCATCAGGAATAACATCATTTGCAAATATAGGGTGCCAAACGAAGTAATTTCAGATAATGGCTCACACTTCAGAGGAGAAGCGACAATTCTACTTGAGAAATATAACGTGGCTTTTCACAAGTCATCAACTTACAAGCCACAAACCAATAAAGCAGTTGAAGCTGCAAATAAAACATCAAGACTATTTTGTGTAAAATTGTGAAAACCTATAAAGGTTGGCCAAATAAACTGCCTTTTGCACTTTGGAGATACAGGATATTAATCCGAACGTCTACAAGGGGCAATCCCTTACTCTTTGGTATATGGAATGGAGGCTGTTTTTCCAATTGAATTAGAAGTACCTTCGTTAAGGATTATGGATAAATGTCAGATAGCAAAAGCTAATTAGCAACAGAACCAATTTGAGGAACTGATACTATTTAATGAGAGAATATTGAAGGTGCTATGCCACATTCAGGGGTATCAACGTAGGATTGCTAGAGCATTCAATAAAAAAGGTCAAATCCAGGAATTTGAGGGAAGGGGACTTAGTGCTAAAGGATAATCAAGCTCTTATTCATGACCCTAGGGGCAAGTTCAGGCCCAATTGGACAGGTTCCTACATCATCAAGTCAATCTGGTTAGGGAGATGAGTCATTCTCATGGATTTGGATGGTTTAAAGTGCTCATAACCAATCAACATGGACAAGCTGAAGAACTACTATCCCTTGCTAAGTCAAAAACCTGAAAGGGCGGCCCAGGCAAAGGTTAGAGGTAAAAATAAAAAAATGAAAAAATGAAAAAAAATCTCCAAGGTCAAAAACCCGAAAGGACGACTTTGGCAAAAGTTAGAACACAAAAGGAGAGTGTTAATACCTGAGTGAACTTTAGCCAGAACTACGTATGGCCTAATTCCTATCTTTGGGATACGTTGGCAGCTTCATCTTCAAGTTCGGCCTTAATCATTTATCAATTCACTCATCCCGTCCATGATTGATTGGTGTATCTTTATTCTACTCGGCTATCCTATCTATGTTTCATTTGCTCATCCCATTCGATTCAGTTGTTCTATTTCTCTTTTATGACGGGTTCAGTTGCAAGATGGATTCAGTTGTGAATCTCAAGGGTTCATTTCATGTTTGTCAGGTAGTAGTCATTTGCAAAAACAAATTTTAAGGATTTTTAATAAAGTTGACTAATTTTCTCGATAATTATTCCATTTTTGCAAAACCCAGACCATTCTTTGGACCAAAAAGAAAAACTTTTCAGTGCTCGTAGTTTGACTTACATGATTTGAAAATGGAGAAGTGGAACAAGCATGCTAAGAAAACTCTTATGTTGATTAAAATCTTTTTAGTGGAAAAACCAAAAGAAAAAAAGAAAAAAAAAAGTCAAAATGATGAACTAGGGGCACATTCAAGTTAGGTTTTATGTCTTTTTCTCGCACTCTCGACTCCTCGTTACCAAGGTCACATTAACTTGAACTTTTTCTTTAGGTCAAGCACTCGCCAGAAAATGGACAATAGTTGTCTTCGGCGATGTCCTTCAGTCGAGTGGTCGACCGAGTGGTCGATTGGTGATGTTTTGTTTTGTGTCCATTTTTTTTTTTTGGCAAGTGTAAATGGGTGCGTTTGGGATGGTTTTTGCTTTGTTTTCCTTTCCTCGAGTTATATTTTGTGTTTTGGTCAATGATAGGCTCAATATTCAATTCAGAACTCTATAAAATGCAATCATTTTCAATTTCAAAATTCAAATAAAATGGTTTTCATACTCAAGTGCCATTCATACTACTTGGATTTGCAAAACAAAACTCATTTTATTAAATGTCAGGGATCAAACCTTGATCAAAGTGGTACAGAAGAGAGTTGAAACTATAAGTGCCCACTCTCAAGCTCATAGAAAGAAGAAAAAAAACAATAAAACAAAACAAAAAGAAAAAGAAAAAGAAAAAATAGAGAAAAAAAATGAAGGAATGTTCTTGGATCACTGGCAGCAGCCCGACGATTTCAAACTGACCTCATTTGTAGATGGCTTCATTGCTCGACTTTTCGTCAGTTGCCTCACTACATCTTCACTCATTGGAAGCTCTTGAAGACTCTGCTTTAGGATTTGTAGAGCTTTCAAAAGAGATGAATCCTTGCCATCCATCAAATGAGGAGCACCAAGGAGCTCTGAATCGGGCTACGGAGGTTGCTTGGCATTTGAGCTCTGTATTTTATTTTTTTTCAATTGGTTAATCTCCTTTCAGGAATCTTGAAACATGCTGTGGAAAAGAGAAAGTTGTGCTTTCAGTTGTTGCACCTCATTTGTCCTGCTATGCAGCCGACGGGACAAATTAAAGACCGCAGTTACGGTCTCCGCTTTGTCGAGGCTTATAGGAGTTGGTGTCAGTAATCTCTATTGGGGATTCATTAAGGTTTGGGAAAAAGGAAAGAGTATGGTGGGAAAAGACCATGTCAAAGGGTAGTATTGCCAAAGAAAGAGGTGGCAGAGAGAGTTTTGTTTAGCAACCTTCTACCTGTCTCCCTTGCAAATTGGGATTAAGAAGAAGATGAAAGTGAAGAACAAGACAATTGGGAGATCGAGGCAATCGTTGAAGATCAGGGTAGGTCTAGCTCTATTGGTCAGGCACCGTGATTGATGAAATTGCGCCCCAGATGCGACAATTGAAAGATATAAACCTCTTACCTTTTGTTGATATTCCACTGATATACACCATCCAAAATTCCACTAAAGAAACTCAAAACTTCTTGCTGAAATTGTAAAGCATACTCCATAACCATGCGGGTATAAAGAAGAAAGTTTGATAAATTAGAAAATCTACAATTTCCTCCAAAGGTGAATTTTTGCAATATTCTCATTTATTTTCTTGTATTTTCTTTATTGTTTTAAATATGTGGTATTTAGAATGTGGAAGTGGAAAGCTGAGCCTCTCTGTTCCTTAGATTTCTTCTTATTTATTTTCTAGTATTTTCTTTATTAAATATGTGAGGTCTTAATAAGAAAGTTTATTTTGTCAAAATTGAGAGAAAATACAAAGTGAGATGTAAACCTCTTACCTTTCATTGATATTCCACTGATATACACCACCCAAAATTTCACTAAAGCTAAAACTCAAAACTTCTTATTGATATTCTAAAGCATACTCCATAACCATGAGGATATAAAGAAAAAAGTTCGACAAATCCACCATTTCTTCCAAAGGTGAATGCTTGTTGATTACACTACCTTTTCTCCTTTCATGTGGAACGTGTTAAGATTTGAAGTTTACTCGATTAAAACCTTTCCCCTTTTCGTATGAAATACAATTAGGTACGCCTGTTTATTACACTACCTTTTCTCCTTTCATGTGAAATGTGTTAAGATTTGAAGTTTACTCGATTAAAACCTTCCCCCTCTCCGTATGAAATACGGTTAGGTATGTCTATTGGTCGCACCACCTTTTCTCCTTTCGCATGAAACACTTTTGGATTTCAAGTTCATAGTTCCTCCTCTCACACAAGATGCATTTGGATTTGAAGTTCACAATTACTCTTCTCATGTAAGACGTGTGTGGATCTCAAGTTCACATTTCCTCCTCTCGCGTAAGACGCGTTTGGATCTCAAGCTCAAAATTCCTCTTCTCGCGTAAGACGTGTTTGGATCTCAAGTTCACAATTTCTCCTCTCGCTTGAGACGCATGTAGATCTTGATTTCACTTTTCCTTCTCCCACGTAAGACGCTTTTGGATCTTAATTCTTTTTTTTTCCCTCCTCTCGCGTAAGACAATCTTGAGTTTAATTGGTTATACATTTTCTCCTTTCATGTAAGACATGGTTGAGCTTGCTTTTTGGATAGGCTTTCTTTTATTCATGTGAAACACGTTTGTTTGCATTGCAACCCATATTATGTTTCATATCATTTGTACGAGGCTTGCCTTGCATATTACCTATTGCATGGCATTGCATAATCATGAATTTTCAAAAGGAGAAAAAAAAAAAAAAGCTATGCAAAGCGTGTAAGTCCAACTTTCAATTGCATTAGCATATCATTTGCATCTTGCCCCTGAACTACACTGGTTTGATTCCTTGCAAAGGGATATGTTGGCAACCCTTGGGTTCAACCAACTACATTTGCAGCTTTTTTTTTTCCCAAGTCTTACTTGTCAAAAGGGTCGTATGTGGGCTTTGACATTCCCTTGCGTCATGAAATGAGTTCGAGCTCTGTCAAAAAGGGACAGCTATAGACACTCCATTTTGACTAACTTTAAGACTTAGGCGCTTTCTTTTGATCATCCGATGATAAAAATTAAAATATGCTATTTTATGAATTTCTCAACAGAAAAGTCAGATTTAAGCTTTAATTCCAACCTTACACCAGTTTTGGCCAAATTATTTTAGACCTATTCAAAACTCTTTTTCTACATTTTTCTTGTTCAGAAAATTTAGCATTTTTGGGAAAATTGGCTCTTCAAAAAAAGAAATGGGTTTTGGCTCTTCAAAATATGAATGGGTTTTGGCTCTTCAAAATTGGCTTTTCAAAAAAGGATGGGGTGTTGGCTTTTCAAAATTGGCTCTTCAAAAGATGAAAAAGTTTTGGCTTTTCAAAATTGACTCTTCAAAAAATAAAGGGGTCTTAGCTCTTGGCTTGTATATAGAAGATTATTAGAGCTAAGAGGGAGGTCTTAGTTTGGATCAAAAGAAAGTTTATTTTGTCAAAATTGAGAGAAAATACAAAGTGAGATATAAACCTCTTACCTTTCACTGATATTCCACTGATATACACCACCCAAAATTCCACTAAAGCTAAAACTAAAAACTTCTTGCTAATATTCTAAAGCATACTCCATAACCGTGAGGGTGTAAAGAAGAAAGTTTGATAAATTAGAAAATCCACCATTTCCTCCAAAGATGAATTTTTGCAATCTTTTCATTTATTTTCTTGTATTTTTTTTTTATTGTTTTAAATATGTGATATTTAGGTTGTGGAAGTAGCAGGCTAAGCCTCTGTTCATTAGATTTCTTCTTATTTATTTTCTTGTATTTTCTTTATTAAATATGTGATATTTAGGTTGTGGAAGTTGTTCCTTAGATTTCTTCCCATTCATTTTCTTATATTTTCTTTATTAAATATGTGATATTTAGGTTGTGAAAGTTGTTCCTTAGATTTCTTCTCATTCATTTTCTTGTATTTTCTTTATTAAATATGTGATATTTAGAATATGTGATATAAATATGTAATTGA